GCAACATGCATCATGCTTAATTTTATATAAACATTATTTTCAAATAGCGTTCGGCCGCACAGGTATACGTATACCCCGCGCCTGCGAAAAGGAAGCGCTTACGTCAAATCACATATAATTGTAAACACCGCGGTCGCGCGAGAGGAGATACAATTTAGTTCCCAATAATAACAAAACTACGAATTGCGGGAACGTAAATAATTACACTAAACGCTCTTTCGCCTTCAGCCGAACAATAAACTAAAGAAAATTGTTTGGGAATATTCTAGAAATACAGGCCTATATAAACCTCTTCTCTCGTGACCGCGGCGCTCTTTTCCGATTGCTTGTCGCGTCAAGAGTGTGCTTCTACGTTACGAAAAAGATCGCTTGTCTTTTTTCGTGTCTAATTATCGTTGCTTGCGGAACATTTAGTTATTAATTATCGACTCGGCTATTTCTTTTGGTTTATTCTTATCAGTTAATTCTCTGGCAATTTCTGTGCGGTTTAAACAATTGTAATTTTTGTTGTTCGTAGTGTAAATATATTTTTGTTCACGTTACGCGTGTGTCGAGAGCAGTGCTTCTCTGTCTTCTCGCTTCCGACCTTCCTATCCTGCTTTCCGTCGCGCACAAAATATGTTATTAGAATTATTGAATTGAATATAATATTAGAATTAAAAAATTATGTTTTTATTTTAGCGGAAAAAAATTTTTTTTTAATAAATATACAATTAATCTGTCATTACGTGTACAATTTTCGGTAAAAAGAGTAAGAAATTGATTAAGATCGTATCCGATAGACATAAAGTAAAGAAATACACAACTATAATGTCCGCAAGTTTGTGAAAAAAGTCCTTGTAGTTGACGGGTATTCCATCGATGGATGACGGAGTTTCGTCGAAGTCGAAGGAGAAATCCTGGTTCCAGAGGAGGTAGTCCGTAGCTATCAAAGTAGATGCCTGTTCCATGTTCGTCGAGGAAGAAGGCGACCCAGTGTTCACCAGGTCTATTATGAGCGTCTGTATTAGCGACGATAGCCGTCGACCTCGTCCACACCCTCGGAACTCTGTCGGCGGAATAAACTCCCGCATGCTTGACATCGATATGATGCAATGCCCGTAGAATTTTTGAAGATGAACGCACGGATCCTAGTATTATTTGAATAACTTTAGTTTTTACTTCTCCCGCTGTAACGTTTCTGCACGACGATTTGCGGTCCGTAAATCTTTTTTCTTCTTTTTCTTCTTCTTTTTTCTTAATTGACTACTCGACGCTTGACAAATCTTTTGTTTCTGTTATACTATCCGCTCGAGTTTTTATATTATGAATTAGAACAGGGTTATCATTTACGCTGCTAACAAAGTAATTTTTACCGTAGCAGGTTTTCTCGCTTTTGTGACCGCTGTCGTCGTTGTCGTCGTCACTGCTCAATTAAAAATTTTCGAGAGAACTACAACTAGTGGGTTGGCTAACACTGAGGTTGCGTTCCGTTTCGCATATTATAAGCACAAATTACATAGAAAACATTCCGTTTCACTCAATGCGCGCATGAACAACGCTTAGAATTCCCTAGATCCCCACCATCTGCAGCGCATAATACACGCATCAGCTACCTCAAGTTTGAGTTGCAGCAGCTTATACGTTCTATGCGATTGCATATGACGATTGATAGCGATATTGTGAAAAGTTAAAAGTTGACTTGTAGTTCTACAAGAAAGCATTAGTGTCAAAATATGGAAGAGTCATTGATCGAATTCCCAGTCTTTGTTAAAGAAACGCAGAGCGTCATTACATTATTTCTTACTCAAGAACTAATTAATAGAGTTCAAACAGGTAACATTCAGCCGAATATATTTTAAGGTTATGTATCATTTAAAAGAAACATAAATAAATGAACATCTCTTACAGAAAAAAGTTTTGAAAGTTATGAAAATACTCCCAATTGACAGTTTCCGTAATATCGAAATAAAATTACCAATTAGATGTCTTTTCGCAATTTCCAAAAAATGTTTTTTCATAAGGGATTATTTTTATATTTATTTGATTATTGGGTGTATATATAAATTATATTTTTAATACTATCTGCTGTTACAGATCAAAAACTGTTGCAATCACTTGTGAACAAAAAAATCTTATGTAACCAAAATAATTCTACTGATTTTGTGCGTGCAAGTTCTTCAGGAATTAGTCAGTCGTCAGTGTCTGATTTCGCAAGTTTTTCAGAAATTAGTCAGCCATCAGTGACATTTGAAATTTCTGATTCCGAAGAAAATACTTCTTCGACTAGCACTAAAGGATTTATATGGTCCGACGCTGCGGTATATTTACTGTTAGAGTTGTATTGAGAGAAAGAATCTGACTTCAATTCGGGATCCAAAAGAAGTACTATCGTTTGGGCTGAGCTGGCAGAAAAAATGAAAGAAAATTCAAATGGAAAGTATGCTGTAACTGGGCTGCAATGCTCCGTAAAGATGTCTGGTCTAAAAAGAACGTTTAAGAACATAAGCGATCAAAACAAGAAGAGCGGAAATTGCCGGAATACATGGGCCTTTTATTCGGTAAATCTATGTTTCTTATTTCTATAAATAATTCATTAAAAAATGAAATACCAATTTGATACTGTTAATTTTATATGTAATCTCTTTTAATTTTCTAAGGATGTTTTTTTTTAGTAATGCAATTGATACAAATGTCATTCTATTCTTCTTGGCATTGAATGGAAGAACAGAAATAGAACGACACTTATATCGACACTTGTGTGTCACTAAATGGCAAGCAAAATAATTTTTGACGTAAATGACTTATATGATCTAATGTCTGAGTAAATGTTATTTTTATAATTGTAATTCTAAAAGTTATGGATTCAATTTTTGGGAAAAAAGCTTTTATGGTATCACCTGCGATTGCATCTAACAAAGGTCCACTGAAGCCTATAAATGTGACAAAATCGGCAGCAACAGAATCATCTTCAGAATCATTGTCATCTAGTAAATAATAAATTAATAAGATATCGATTCTTTATAATTTGTATATATTTGCTTAGTAATCAATGTCTATTTCAGATCAATGCAAAAAGCGAAGAGTTGAGACTGTCCTGGAGACTTTTATTAGTGATATAAGACAAGATAGAAAGGTAGCGATTGCCAAAAAGGAGGAAAAGAGAAAAGAACGTGAGAAGTTAAAAGAACAGAGGTATGCCGAGCGTAAAGAAGAACGAAGGAAGATTCACGAGGATAAAATAAAGGTCCAAAAATCGCTGATCGAAATCATGAAAACTTTAGTTGAAAAGCAATAACGATTCTATTGCTTCTTTATTTATCTATGACTTAGTTTATACCGATTTAGTATGAGTACTAAGTACACTGGCTTCCAATGATTCGTTCCTAGACGGGGCAAGGGGGAATAGGTATATAGCCATGATTATTGGCTGTACACCAGAGAGAATCTAAGAACAAATCATTGAAGGCCAGTGTACTAGATCTCCTTTTCTGAAACCTAAGTCTATATAATATATAATAACTTAATAATATTGTTGACATTATTTTCGTTTTGGCGTTACTTCGACCGTGTCCTATTTTCTGTATGACAGTTAAACTACTTTTTAACAAGTCTGTAATCTATCGATCGGAAGATCTGAATATGTACATACAGAAGAGAACAATAATGCCTTCTCACATAAAAAAATTGTTGCGTGCTCTATTCTTATACAATCCAATAGAACCGCCGCGTACAAGTATATAACTAGTACGCGGTTAACAAATTAACATGGGAAGGCATTATTGTCCTCTTTTGTACATTCAAATTAATAGTAGTTTACATCTGTTTAAGAGATTAAAAAATACGGGTAATTAACTATTAAGCAATACAAGTGATATTATTGCAATTAATTAGTTAAAACTTGTGATAGTATTTTTAGCTATACACCCTTACGGAAAAAAGTATTTTGGAAGTATCGCGAAAATATTTCCAATTAAGTAAAATATTTGACGTTTATTAATATTTTTATATTTACATTGCACAGAGAGTAATAAGCTTAATATGCGACTTAAAATTTAATCATTTAAAAGTCGTCCTGTATAAGTTTTATTTAATATTTTAAATCTTGATATTAAAATAATGTTCAGTTTAATGTTATTTTTAGTTTTATATTACAAGTACTTTGTAAATAGAGTACAGTTTTACCTCCTAAGTACCAAGTTAAAACTTGGTGTTTATTAATATTTTTATACTTACATTGCATAATAATAATAACTTCAATATGGGAATTATAATTTTATACCAAAGTTGTATGCATGGATTTATAATAAAATAATAAATAATCAAAATCAATGTTAAATTGTTTATTACTTAATATACACATTTTTATTATTATATAATGTTGTCGAGTATACTACATACACTTTAATATTATATTTTCCTCGGTAAAGCATTCATAATTTCAATTCTTTTAACATTTCCTAATTCAACTGCATTATCATGTAAAATAGGTCTTACTTTTTCTTCATTTGTACATATACCCATCAGTTCGATTATATCATTTTGCAAAATACAAATGTGTAATACACAACAGGCCAAAATAAATTCGGGAAATTGTAGGGTGTCTGTTAAAGGTAAACAGTCTAAGAGAATTCTAAAACGAATTTTCAGATGACCTATTGCTCGTTCAATTGCCATTCGCGTAGATGACAGACAATAGTTAAAATTTTTTTGCGCATTAGTTAAATGACCATTATTTCTAAAAGGTACCATGACATGTGAATGAATACCGTACGCAGCATCTCCAATAATATGAGAATTATCGGGAAAGTATATTTCAGGTAATTGAAGAAAATCTGCCACTGGTGAATTCCGAAAAACTCTTGCATCGTGCACAGATCCCACATGCCCGGCGTAGCAAATCTTAATGTGAGTGCCATCAATAGCACCTATTACTTTTGGAAAACCACAAGCTTGTTCAAATTTCTCCATTACTTTTGTAGCAACTGCATTTTTAGGCCATTGAATAAACTGAGGAGCAATGCAATGTAGAGCATATGTTACTCGTCTTAATGCCCTAAATGCAGTTGCTTTTCCAACTCCGAATTTCGTCGATACAGACCTGAAGACAATAATATAATATTAATAAAATATTACTATTAAATAATTAATAATTTATTTTTTGGGTGTACTTCCAAATAACTCCTGCCCCCGATTGACTTGAAATTTTACACAGAAGTTCTATTATATCCATTATATCCATTTTTTTCTTTAAATTTATAGTAATAATTTTAATGTATAAAATACCTATAAGAGTCAGGAGTGGACATGAACCAAATTGCAATGAGGAGTTGTTTTTGAGCAGAAATTGGTTTTCTTCCAGGCAATGCATCTATGGCTCTTAATCCTGGCCTGATTAAGGGGGTTGACCCGTTTGATGGGTTGAAAAAATCGGAAATTTTGTTTTCATAAATCGCTTCTATAACTTATGTAGAATATGTGGTTAAAAGGATTTTTCGAAATTCAATGTCGTTAGAAAGTTATAGCCCTGAGAAGGAATGCGCAAGCAACTTTGGTTACTGTATTATAGAATTCGTTTCTGTTTTTTCTGCTTTATCTGCAAGTGTCATCTGCAAAGATTGCAAAAGTGAAGTTACTTTTTCTAAGTCAAGCTTACGTGGCTTGGGTTTCAATATTCTTCTCGAGTGCAAGTGTGATAAACAAACAAAAATGAAGAGCAGGAAGGCGTCCTGTATGGCCCAGGCATCGCAGATTAGTGGTAAGTCACGATTTCATTTTCTCGAAACCACTTTTTTTCAACTGGTCGCCATGATATCTCAAAAACGACTTGACCGACCGCCTTGAAATTTATAGGGTATGTTCAGCACATGTGGGGCAACAAGCTGAACTAGGATAATTAAAAAAGGTCACGTCGTTTTTTTTTTATACAACAAAACAGGCCCCAAAAAAAGTGTTTTTTTAGATATAAAAATTCAAGGTCGCCTAAAATTTTTATTTTTTAATATTTTCAAATAATCCTAGTTTATCTCGTAGCTACAGTCACACAGATTAAAATGCTTTTTTATTTTTTTATTTCAGATCACTCAGTCGGCCGGAATCGTGGCGACCAATGACGTTCCTTTTTTTTATATGAATGACTTCTCCGTGCTGTATCACGGAAAGTTTTTATTATTTTCACTTGAAAAAATTTCTACGTGTACTTTAATAATTAATAAATATATGATAAAAAATTCAAAGTTGTAAGTTTTTATCGCTCTTCAAAAAAAATTCCCAAAAAACAGTTAAAGAAACGGCCGTCAAACGGGTCAACCCCCTTAATTGTAACACTACTTCAAATGTTTCCGGAAACATTCTGCAAGATATAAAATTGCTAATGTTGTAATTTTTTGACATTATTTTTACATTAGTAAACAAAAATTCAATATGAAAAATAAGTATAATGTACAGACTTTTTATAAATATTTTAAAACATCAATCGAGTTAAAAAATATGTATGAAAATATTCACACTTACCGAAAATGTTCTTTGAATACGCGTCTCGTGTATCCAGAAATAACTCTCTCAACAAAATCTGTTATTTTTTCTTTATAAACTGTTTCACCACGTGTTTCGCCCACCATTAAACTGAATATAAAATTTCTAATTCATAGCCTGTGCTTGAACTATCATATTCTTCGTCACTCATTTCATAATCATCAGAACTGCAACTTGATAATTCGCTACTCATGTCACTCATTTCATCAATTAAAAGCATTGTCACATTGACAGCGCAATTTATTGTGAAATCCATTTTAATTTCCCACTTCCAATGCGTTCAATATCGTTCCGTTTCAAAGCATGTATTGTGCGTATAATGAAACGAAACGCAACTAATGCGCTAAGCATTAGCGATGTAAACAATGCGTACTATGCGCAAAACGGAACGCAACGAGAAAATATCGCTGCTGACACTATTATTTTGCTCCAGTAGCCAGCGCTTTAATTTGTAAGCGTTATGTAATGCGTAATAAAAAATTTTTCGAAATCCGTGATGCGTGCAATATTGTCCGCACTCTCCCTCCGCCGTTAGATTTTTGAAAGGAGAGATGCTGGAGAGATATCTTCTAAACTATATATCTCTCTGGAAAGTAGATTCCGTAAGTAATATGCTTTTTTGCTGCCTCTGACGTATATGTGCCCCGAGTATCTTATAATTTTTCGTAAACGCAACGTAAAATATTTTGAATTAGCTTTGCCGTCGAACCATTCGATACCGTGGTAATTTCGCGTGAGCCATGTGTTTTGCCGCCTTACTTTTTCGAGTAATTTTCCAAACGGATACGGAGCCATCAAAATCCAATGGTCGACGCTGCGTCCACCGCGATTTCCTTAGGTAGAAACTTCTCGTCCGCATCGCGGAAGCCTTGTATGTCGATGACTATATCCATGTTGTGATGAAAAATTTCTACGCTTTTTGTAGGCGAGGTTTAAGCTTTTCACAAACCGTCAACGTGCGTGTCTCGAAGGAAACTGACTATTTCTTTTCGTAACATCGTAAGATTTTCTTCTCGTAAAACTTGTCGACGAATGGAAGTTGAAAAGAAGGGAGGGGTAAGAAAAATATAGAAAAGTTTTAATCGGGTACGCTGTGACGTGAGAGTTGTAAATGCGGCGATAAAAATTTTAACCGGAAAGATCGACGATGACTTGACGCGACGAGTCGATTTCAATTACATTATCAAATTCGGCGTAAACAATACAGTTAATTGTTTTGGTAAGTGACTTTTCGAATCGTATTTCTAATCGTAAACTGTCATGTCTCGAGATTCCAATGCCCGGCGCAATTGGCAGACAAATCGAGTGTGAGATCAAAAGCGAAAAGCGTGTATCCCTTGGAATAATTGTCTCTACTTATAGAATTTCCCTCATTCAAGAAATGGATACCCGTTCTCGCGAAGAGTGTTTGATAAGCATCGACATAAAGCGATTTTTCTGACGAGAAAATCGGTTGTAATGGCCTACTGGGTATTTGCATACCGTCGACGTACAGAGAAAAAAAATTTATATCGTAATTTTTAAAATTAAACGGATTTAATTTTCTATCTCCATTAAATGCTTTATTATTAACGAATCCTACTATTATTCGTTTCGGTAATTGGCCTAGTATTACATTATCTAATGACTCACCCGCAACGCCACTGTGAATCGTTAATGTTTTAATCTCGACTCTCGTAAGCGGATACTTGGCCGTAACTTTACTCAGCATTCTAGCATGCGCAAGTAACACTCCAGGGCTTATTTTCGCTCTTCTCACTAGTAAGCTAGCATCGAGAATATGTATTTTCGACGCACCGTTACTTTCCATGAGGCAAAACGAATCTTTCGAGCGGACGAGTCTCAGACGTACTTCCACATCGTTAATTAAGAATTTGTCTTGATTGAAGACGTCGCAATGGAGATGATGTCCTATAAGATCTATTGCTCGCCCGCCTCGAATGTAATGGGCGCGTCTCGCGAGAACGGTATTGTTTCTCGACTCTAGCGAATCGTCCATATGACCTGGTGTATCCGAGTCCCATAGACATGACGTTAGATGGGAAGTTTTTGCAGGTGAAGAATAATTTAACAATGCCTCGATGTACGCGCGGTACGCGTAAGCGTTGTTTGGAGGTGACACGAGCTTTTGATTGAAATACACGTCGACCTGATTGAAGATGGAATGAAGTAGATGATTTACGGGGCCTGCGACGCTCTCTGCGCCAGCGCTGCCGCTCGTTCCTGAAGCTCAAGCCGTTGAATCGTCGCCTGATTTCACGCGCACGCGAAGACTCAGCAGGGTATGCGTGAGATCTAGATATTCTTCTCCGTGTCCCGGGACAACGAATTCTATCGGTGAATCGTCCGAGAGAAAGGTTACGGGTTTGTAATGAATCCATTGCAAATTCTCGATATTGGTTTGCGTAGGCGGTAAAGAAAAGAGATCGAGCTCACTCTTTAAGCACTCGCTTGAATGTGTATGAAGAAAAGACATACTTATTCTCCGGCGATTGTTTCGTTGTCTTCGTCGTGGTTTAACGTGAGCGAATTAAAATATTGTTATTTAAGAAAATATGTCGGATACGGTACGTTTCTTGCCAATTTTACGTCGTTTTGCCGATGTCTTGAGTCTTTTTACACCCGCACGGGTCCTCCTCGTTTTCTTATTCTTCGTAGATTTTGTACTTTTTTTCTTTCTCGGCTTGATTTTCGATGAACTTCTCTTACTCGCGCGACGACGTTTAACGATGCACTTGTCGTGCCCGGCAAAAGGAAAATGCGCTACGTGCATTTTCACATCAGCTTTATATCCGGAGCCTTTCATGAGACTAGTTATTTTTTCTTTAGCTTGTCTTTTGAGTTTGTTACGCGATTCTTCAAAACGATGTCTAATCGCTACCTTAAGCGGAGTATTATTTTTCACATCCTCTATTTTATTAACACCCGCGCGTAAAGCTTCTTTACCCACAGCCCGTGCAGCAACGCCTAGATAAGGCAGCACGCGTCTGAATAATCCTCCGAGAAAACTCCCGATACCGTGCCCGCGTTGATAGGGCGATCCGACAAAAACTTTTGGAATTCCACCACCGCGAGCTTCTCCCTTCTGTAATTCGTCGTAATATGCCGAATAATAATCCATCGACAGAGAACGAACGAACAAATTTTTTTTCTTTTCTTTTCCCTTTCTCGTTTTCTCTGTCATAAACAGCGAATGTTTTTACGATATCTATTAGATACGTCTAAAGTGCAATGTCACCGTCAGCGTCCCGAATTCGAATGGTATACTTTGTCCCAGATGATCTTTTATATCTATTTCTATCGTACGAAAACACGTTTGACGCAGCGTGATGTATTGAGCGGGCGAGAAATGTTTTATCCAAGTTGATGTGAACGCGTAATTATTTTGCGAGTCGAGCGCAACTATTCGAAGAAGAGAAGACTGTACGTCGCCAGTGATATAAAGTTTGCAAATGTCACAATAAACAAAGAGTTTGTCGGGAATATCGCGCAATAAACTATCCGCTTCGTCGGCTATTAACATTCGTGTGGAAGTGAGTTCGTAAAATAGCAGAGAATGCATTTCTTCATCGTAGACCCACAACGGTAAAATGTTGGGTATGACGGCGCTACTTTGGATTTTAACGAGCTTTTTGTCGTCGTTATTATATTGTATCTTCATACCGATTTCGTGATAAAACCACGTAGGCAATGAGGTAAGTACAGCGGGCTCGCTATCGAATTGAACAAAATCGTTACGCTTAATGTGTATATCAAAACCGAGTATGCGACGCAGTTTGTCGAAAAAACTTATATAATGTATTATATTATAACTATTTTTTTTACAGTTAAGTTTCATAAAAACTTTACCACCCACAAAAACGCCGTAATGAAAAACGATATGCGAATCGACAGATTTAGCTGCGAAATTTACACCAGCAACAATATTTTGCATACTCGAGTAAATACCCACGGGTACTTGAGATCTCATAGCCTTAATTGATTTATTGTTTTCGTCGATATCGATAAATCTGATTATTCCTTCATTATCGCGTATATGTAAAAAACTACACGGAAACTGAATCTTCGTGAGCGCTACTTCCCAACGCCCGTGCAATTCTATAGGTTGGGGTAATTCGGTGGTGAAACACGTGGTTGTATTTTCTGGGAAATAACGCATGCTAATGTTGCTCGAGAAAATCATATAAAATTCATCCTCCCTCATTTTTTTTTAATTCAAAGATCTTAAACTCGAAGCGGGTATCCAAGAGTCGAATTTTGAGAGATATCTTTGCCAACTAACTAGCAATTGTTTATTGTTGCCGCGACCCCTGCTTTTTATTACCCGCTCGACGATAAACTCTTCCCCTTGCAAATCTTTATTGACCGGAGTTAATTCTTGTTCGTAAAATATGCCGTCTATATTCTCACCCGCTAAATCGCTTAATTCGTATACGCGAGGTTTTCTCCATTCGAGAACGCGGTGAATTCGAAATATTTTCTCGCTCCACTTTGCCTCGTATCCTTTCTCGAAGACTACTTTTGCCCTACTGACACGCACGAGATCTGCCTGATTGTATTTAGCCTTTTGTTTATCGCTGTGCTTCTTTTTTTTCTTCTCGATGTTGTTGTCGTTGTCGTCGTCGTCATTGACTTTCCATCGTCGATTCATATTTTCACGCGCGATACGGGCATTTTCCCGCGTGACGGCAGCGGGTTGCATTTTAATAGAGGTATGTCGGGTATGATTGTAAGCGTAAACGATATCCTGTAAAACATCGATGTAACGTCGCATATTTTTATGAGTAAAATAACGCCTCATCCGTTCCTTGAGTGTCCTATTAAAACGCTCAACTACAGCTGCTTTAACATCGGAATTACGCGCCACGCGAAAACGAATGTCTTTTTCTTTCAAGAACTTTTGTACAGGTTGAGCTATAATTTCTTTACCTTTATCCGTCTGCAGGTAGACGGGTCGACGCTCTTTGTTTCTCAAAAGTATACGTTGGAAGGCTTTTGTCACGCAGGTAGCTGTTTTGTCGCGTAATGGTTCTACTCAAACGAACTTACTAAGAACATCGATAATAACTAGTAAGTAAGAATATCCGTCATTATAACTCTTGAGATTACGAATATCGATTAAATCTACTTCCCATAAATCGTCGATATTTGACACGTTATAATGTAAACGTGGAAATTTTCGACGCACCGGACGATGTAGCGTACATGCATCCTGAGATTTAAGCCATTCGACGACATTGTTACGCGTAAAATTCG